AATTAACAATGGAATATTAGGCAATTAGTTCTCTACATACTTCAAGAGCCGTACCGATTCAACCACCAACTACATACAAATAAGTTTGGAAGAATAACAGCTAATCTCTCTCTTCTCTGGTCCCTACCACTTGTTGTGATTCTCAAGGCAGTTTATTTTAGACTTGGTCTGCTCATTGATGCAAATCTGTTGCTGTGTCTACAGATCTTCAACAAAATGCCATCCCATATCCTTCCCTGCAGACTTACTGTTTCTGCGGGGGTTTTCTTTACTTCTACGAAAACAGTAAATCCAGATTAAAAGGAAAAATATTATGGGATGACATTTTGATAAGGATGTTGTGTGGACACTGCACAGAACTTGCATACATGAGCAGCACTATATCCACAATAAACTGCCAGGTGGAAGCAGCTCACATCTTATGCAAGGACACTTACAGTCCATTCTATGCAGGCTGACCCAGAGGTCAGTCCTACAAAGTTCTGGGGGTGCTCACACCCAAGTAAGTGTGTACAGGAATACAGTCCTCAAGAAGTTACCTGGGTTATTATTTTTTAATGCCACAGAGTTTCTCTTTTCAATGGCTGACTGCAATATGGTAGGCTAATCTATGCATTTTTATTTTCTAGTCTAGAAAGCAAATAAAATTTTGTAGACAAGTTTTTTTTTAAAGTTAAAACTACTTTGAAGGGATGTATCAAAATGGACTATGCTGTGTATAATGCATAACACAGTGTTGCCTTATTTGCTAACCCACAGGACAGACATGATTGAAAGCAATGTTCTTTGCTAAAAGAAACAAACAAAAATACTACAAAGATCTGTAAAATGGATGTTGATACCTTGTCACATACTCCAGGCCTATTCTTTCTGGCTAAGGATTATGTAACTAAACCTCAAAGCTATTTTTAAAAGGCTGAATGAATTTAGTTTGAGCAGTATTTTGTGCTTTGCAGATTTACAAGATCGACAGGGCACAGAGTTTTTGGTTCATAGGCCAGGTATAGCAGAGCCACCAGCACTGAAGCAAAAGCCTTTGTACCTTTTTGTAAGTGAGCATTTCTCAGGACCAATTTTAAAGCAACAGAGACCTTCAGGCACTCTTCAGCATCTAAGAATCTAAACCTGTAGCATTGCTTCAATCCTGCAAATCAATCTACATATGTAACCTCATGTCTTATCCTATAGGGATCCCTATCTGCCCTAAGCTTGTATACTATTTACTGCTTACTTGCGGGCACAGCAGTGTTACAATTCTTTGGGCTGGGCATGCAGAACAGTAGTTTCAAATGCCCAGGGTGAGATTAAAAGCTTTCCATTTCTTCTGTGAAAGGAAAATGCCAGCCTGCACATGGGAAACAGCTTCAATGTCCATGGAGCAATTCTCTTTCACAGAACAGAGGAAGCTGGCCAGACTATTTGCCCATCAAGCCCAGTATTGTCCATTCTGCTCTGTCAGCCGCTCTCCAGGAAGCAGTCTTTTTTATCCTAATTTTAACTGAAGATGTCATTTGAGACCTTCTGCATGTAAATCACGTGCTTTATTGCTGAGGTATGAACTCTCCCAATAGAAAACATGCCTTGGAATGAGAATCCTCAGCACATACTAGGCTTATAGGAAGTGAGCAAACAGTGAAGCCATTGTCAGGTTTGATTTTATTTTTATTTTATCCCCAGTCAGTTTGGCTATGGATATCTCTGTGTGCACTATCTTCATTTATGCAATGTTCCTCTGACACAGGAAGCCTGTGATCATGCTCTATTAATATTTCATATTTAACTTGTTCTTGGTACATCGTTTATATATTTTTAGGAGTGATCAGATGAACAAATAGGTAGAATCATCAGTGAACTAAGAAGTTAGAAAGTTCTATAGAAGTCAACTGCACTTGGTGGTCCTTCCTACAATTACCCAACCAACTCTGTAGAGGCACTATACAGCTGAACCAGAAATGCAATGGTATAAGCCACAAAGAGGTTACATGTGCAAGAAACATTTTAAGGCTCTTAGCGTTTCACAGCTCACAAGTCTGTCTTGGATTTCCATGCTTTTTTTTTCAAGTGGAAAATATTTGCTCCCATTAATCAAGGTTACGCTATTAAAAACAAAATGAAAATAAATAAAAAAGAAGATGAACTAGATGTTGGTTCCCAGCCCTAAACATCTGAGATGCTACTGCAATTGATGTAGAAAATCTTTGTAGCCAGACCCCAAATTCTAGTTTTTATATGGCCCTTTCTCTAGGGAAAATAGCAAATTTTCTGCTAGTGTACAACATAATTACACAAGGTTTATAATTGTTAGATTTCTGAGGATTTGGACAAAACACGTTTAAAGGAAGCATACTATTAAAATAAATAGATTACTTTGAGAATGTATTTTAAGTCAGTCGGAATGAAGTTTTGAAACATTACATTTACCTCCATGAATCAAAAGAAGGATTTAACAGCTCATTTTCCACAGGAAACCAAAAAACAGTTCAGAAATAAGTTGCACATACTCCATTTGTGAAAATAGGAAAGTCTTTTGTTTGTGGGAATTTTTAACAATGCTCAAGTTGGCAGAGCACTGATGAAGAAAATAAATCAATATTTGCTGCTATTGGAGGTCCTTCAAATCTTCAATGGCAACAATTTCAGTAACTTAAGTAAAGCCACTATGCATACAACGGATCTGCACTGACAGATTTTTCAGGGTATCTTTGGATGCTACCTAAAAAAGCTGAAGACTATGGTCTATGCATCTCTTCCCAAGCTTTTAGGTTACATATGGGGAACACTTTGGGGAAAAGTGGTGACTCCCATATCCTCTCCATGGCAAAGTATACACATTCTGGATCTGCATCCAAAGGAAGATGCAGGAGCTACTGCTTCAGGTGTCATCCAGGACTATGCAAACAGATACACAAATCAACTCATTACTTTTCTCCTCCCCTTGCCCTTCCAGGTAATGTCCAAAATCATTCTAGTGAAACACAGTGCAAAGGAGGAATTTGCCACATCCTAAGATACTAACCTAGACACAGAAGTAGGCTTATATAATGTAATTAGATCCACTGCTAGATGTTACCTGTGTGTGTAAAAAAATATCTGGCCAAGATCCAGATAATTAGTTCCAAGAGCTTAAAGAAGCTGTGGACTCGTCCTTCTCAAGCAGCAGCCTCACATGCAGTGAAACAACTGCTTTGGAAACTGAAGTGAATTAGAAAATCAGTTTTTGATATGGCATGAGTGGCAGGCCAAACTGTTGAAAGGGGGAGAACGTTAGGCAGGTGCAAGCTCTCTGCACCCAAAATAGGAGTGTGTGGAAGTGGTACTCCTGCACCATGCCCAGAGCATTTAACAGGTGATAGTTATTGACACTGTCATCAAGTATAAGTTAGAGGAAGCCAGCATGGGCTTTAGTCCAGCCACTCCTTTTTCCTTCCATTTGCTGTGTTGTGCCTGACATTCCTGATCATGTTGTGGGGCACAGAAATGACAGCCTACAATTATTTCACCATCTACTTCCTACTTTTACACGCTAGGGCTGTGGTATTTGTACTGCCACATTTTCCTGAAGTGAATTAATTACATCATAGCATCCGAAAGTGAATGTAGTTACTTGTAGTGTGCCGTTTACTCTACAAATAACTCTGTTTATTAAAACTTGTACAGATCATTCAGCTGTATTGTTTTGGCTTTTAATTGTGCAAAAGTAATGGAAGACAGGAAACAAAATAACAATATGTTACTAGCTTTGTAATGATATCCATAAACAAAACAAAACATTTTTAAAAGAGGAAGAATGCACATGCGATACCTAAGGCAGCCATTAGTATTTTTGTAACACTACCACTTGTCAGGGGAAACTTCCCCCCGCCCTTGAACAGTCAGTGGGTTTTGGTCAGGTAGCTTTGTCAATCATGTTAAATCTGCTTCTGTTTCAGGTGTTACAACGGTTTTACTATAACTTTTAGATTCCAGATAACCCGAAAATGTGGTTGAAATGCCATTAACATTTTACAACATATTGGTGTGTTACTGAATATACTAAAATAATACAGACGTATATTTAGGTGCGGTGGACCTAATCTAGCACACTTAAGACCACCAATTTCAAAACTACCTCTTTCCCACATTGTTGCCTTCAAGGAAATCTGAAAAGGGAAGCCTGCAATGGCAACAGTTTCAAAAAATACGTAACACTTTTTATATTACAGTTTATGACACTTCCTGTTTCTTCTTTTATTTAAAAAAATATTATGTAATAGATTTTTAAAAAGACAAAATAACCTTACCTGCTGCATGTTTACAGATTTGCTATTTCTGCAATTTAAAACTCTAGGTTAAGTTATATACACTGCTGAAAGGATATGAGACATTATACCATTTCAATTCAATACAAACTGTCGCATTTAACTTCTCTGACACAAAATCTAAAATTTCAAATTCTGCAAAGGGACTGCTGTATACTAACGAGTTAGCTACCTGGTCCTATGGGGAACTGAATGAGAAAACGTTAGTGGCACAACAACCACATTTCTAAAACATGTATTATATACAAAAAAAATGTAAAGGCATATTTAACCTTTTTATACAGTACTTTCAAACAACATTTTTCAGTAAGATAGTTAATGTGGAAAAAAACAAACGAACAGCAACACCACATGTGAAAGAGCCGATGGCCATCTCTGCCGATCTAATCAATGTTATGGACCAAGGAAGGTTTCTAACAGGCAAAGCAAGTATTCCAGACTATACATTTAACTATTTGGCTATGACACGCAAACTCTGATGTCACAAACATCTTATGAATGTTTCAGTAGGAGAATGGCACTTGGATTACGCTAACGGGGGGGAAGATAGTTGATCAGCTGAAGAAAAAGTCCGTATCTGCATGCTGGAATTCTGATCTTGTTTTCCCACCCCCCCAAATCCAGGCACGTCCATTCATTGTGCAATCTGTCGATGGGTAAATATAGTGCAGGTTTAATCTCAGTGGGATCTGGCCCTTTGGTCTAACCGAAGTCAATTCTGGGTCGATACTGGAGTACCATGGGGTAAGACTAGAACCACAATGAAAACAGAACAATGACAGCATGTAGACATAAGCACATATGCAGTAGAATTATTTAAAACGTATCAAAATATTTTACTCATCAACTTATACACGTTAAAGAAGCAAAACAAAAAGGAGGGGCTATGTATATTAAAACAACAAGAGTTGGGCTAACTCTTCCCATGTCATGTCAGACTGCCTTGGAGATGAGCTGAAGTATTTCTCCCCAAATCAGACAATACATTGCCTAATTTCTGGACCAATCTGAACCCATTATTTCCCTCTGTATAGCTTTTCAAAGCAGCCCCTATGCAAATGTCATCTCCAGTCTGTTTATTCAGGCCTGCTTTGAAGCAGTGAACCTGGCAAATCTGCTGCTGGGGCCTTACTGGGCTTCATCACATGTTCCAGAGAGCAAGAGGAAGCTAAATACACTGAGGACCCTTGTGCCACTCACTATAGTTCAGCTTAACATATAAGGTAAAAGGTAAAGGGACCCCTGACCATTAGGTCCAATTGTGACCGACTCTGGGGTTGCGGCGCTCATCTCGCTTTATTGGCTGAGGGAGCCGGCGTACAGCTTCCGGGTCATGTGGCCAGCATGACTAAGCCGCTTCTGGCAAACCAGAGCAGTGCACGGAAACCTTTGAAATCTTAGGCTGAAATCCCATGAAGTCCTAATCAGCTAAATAAACTATTAACATAAATTAAACTATCAAACACCATCTTGGGTGGTGAAAGGCAGGCCCGGCTCACCAGTAGGGCAGGGTGAAGCAGCCACCTTGGGTGGTAAAAGTCCCTGAGGCAGCGCCCCCAAGATTTCTGGTGAGATCTTGTGAGACTTCAGTGAAATCTCAACAGAAATCAGTGCTGGTGCCAACACCACTTCTCTTCCAGCAGCAGAGGGGGTGGGGCTGGCAGAGCAGTAGCAGCACTTCCCCTTTTGCCTCTGGCGGCAAAACGGGACGCGCCAGCCCTGTTTTCAGGCAATTCAGGGATCATCCCATTGCTGCATGAGAATGCAGCTTTAGTTACATGTAACATAACTTGAGCAAGCAGGGCTATAGGAGGGCAAATCACCTTGTGACATTTTGGCCTATCGTTTTGGCTTACTATTTTACAAAAAGCTAAGGAAATGGATTATTTTATCAGAAATTTGATTATCATCTCACTACTGAACTCTCTCTCTCTATATATACAGGTGTTTGTTCTTTTCCCAGTTATCTTAATGAAACACGGCTATGAACCATTCACTCCTAGTCTCCACGTATCCTAACAATTAAAAATGTTTAAATCATACACAAACAATTAAACAGCATCAGAGGGAGTCACCAAGGCTGCTGGTACTGGAAGCATCAACAACCACAGCAGATAGAGGAGCTAAATATTACCTTTTAACTTCCATCTATGTGGTAGCCAGTCAACATCAAGTGCCAGCAGTATAGGGAGAAGCCAGCCCTCAATTGTTATAACATATCTCTGAAGTTTTCTTAGGATACTTATGTTTATATATCTATGAGCAAAGTAATCCTAATTCTAGCCAGGGGTCAGTGGGGTAAACAGAATGGCAGAGCCACCTCAATGTTCTTTAACTTATAATGGCCAGGGCAGGAGGTAGGGGCAGTGTCATTCACTTCTTTCCCTTTTGTTGGGCTGCACCAGCTGCAGGTTGGCACAACAGACTGGGTCTCTCTTCAGGAGCTGGACTGGCTTAGGATCCAGCAGATCCATAGCTGCAGCAGGGGCTTCTGTGATGGGGGAGCTCCCTGCACCCCCATAGGAAAAGGTCAGTGGGTGGGAATGCCCAATGGATTCTAAGGTCCTATAGCAGTGCTAATCAGGACTTAGGACTATAGCCTTAGTGTCACTGTTTTATACTATTTCTATCTTTGATATGTGCCTTGGGTATGCGAAAAGAAAAGTAGGATATAAATTTCACAAATTAATGAATAAATATTATTACATGCATTAAAAAAATTAATCTGCATGACCTTCTGAAAGCACCTGAGGCTTAGGACCTGCAAGGCTAATTTTGGTCTTGGGAGACTTTCTTATATGGGATTAAAAGGACACCCGCCACCCATTGGGCTTCATTAACAATGGTTGTGTTAATGTCATCTTAATGACTATAATGTGTACAGTCGGGAGTGCCTCTTACCTGATAAAAAGAGCCATCCTGTGAGCAGACTTGCGAAGATGAGCAGTTCTGACACCGAAACTGCGAAGGAGACGAGTTTCTGATCAGATAAGAGGCATCCACAACTGGACATGGATTATCAGTCATCTCATTTATAATTCTGTTTCACATTTGAGAATTTAATTATTTTACAGTTAAGACAGGTATTGCATTGCTATCAGAGATTAACAGCAAAACGTATAACTTGTACTGGACCAATTTTAATAGTAGGCATATTCATTTTATAATCAAAAGAACTAGAAAGGGAGCAAGGTGAAAATTACTAGGGACTGGTCTGAAGACCCCATTGTACAAGGGGAATAAAAAGCCCTTCTGCTCCCTCTCCCTGCCTCCTGGTCTATAGCTTCCCCACTCTTTCAGAATTGCCTACAGAGAGTTGGGAGTGTTCTTGAAGGATCCTCAAATCTTTTGAGGATTTGTGCAGCAAAGGGTGCAGATGCAACGAGAGGGAATTAGGAACTTTCTCCTTGAATGAGTGAAAGTGCTTTCCACTTAACTTGGAGGGCTTAAGGCACAAACTGGAATAAAAAAAGGCTACCTAAGGCTATAAGATATGCAAATAGTTTCTTAGTTGTGACTAGAATTCTCTTAGAATGGAAAATATATAATCCCCCCACCCATTATTTTATATTCAGTAGATGAATAGGGTTGTAAACAACACTGTGTGAGTGCATCACAAGCTCATGCAATGGACATTTCCCTTCCTCTGCTCCTCCCCAAAAGCATCTCCATGGTGCAAGTTTTTCTAATCTGATATTGTGCATCCCTCCCCTCCACTTATGCAGCTATTTACAGCTCCAGTGTTCTGTAGGGGCACTGCAAGGAAAAGAGAAAGGGAAAGATGTATTGTGCAAGCTCCTATCTGCTCATACTAAGCATTAAACTAGTATAAGCCATGTTTTAAAAGTGCTACTAGTCTAAAGGACGATTTCTATCTACATAAATGATTGCAACACATAACCAGGGATTTAAAAAATTAAATTATCTTTCTGAAGTCATCACTTTTAGCAATGCAAGTCAATTCCTTTCCAAATCTGAAAGTCCTTAAATATTCTTGCATTTAATCATTTCTCAGCCTGTCTGAGTCATTGCTCAGAATAAAATAATAGATGGTACTAATGGTACCCATGTCAAGTGCTCATCTTTTTGAAATGGTACTTTGTGAGGAAGCTGCTACTCCTGAGGCAGCTAACTACTAGATCTCTTTATGATAAATGTTCAAGCACCTTCCCAATTTCCCCAGATCTATTTCTCTTTTGTTTTTTGTAACCACTTGGCACCAAGAAGCTTTGTTTTCTGTACTTTTCACTGACAAATACATTCCTAGGCTGCAAGGCTCCCTTCTCCCTGGACTCCATGACTTAATTTTTATCTTAGTTCCCAGTAAGAAGTAGCTACTGCCAGCTGGTTTCTTTGTTTACACTCTGTGCCAAAGCAGCCAAGGTGGTGCTGGTTTGGAATAATCATCAGTTATCTTGCCACCGTATCATAAAATTTGGGAAATCATGGACTATTGGAAGCCAGCAATGCATTTTAAAATAGCTATTAACAAGTCCTGTTGAGGCTTTTAAACATAAATTTAGAAACTTAAGATAGCAAATAAGCTATATATACACAAAATAAATTATTAGAGTTATTTCTAATTTTATTTACATTTTCGCCTCGTAGTCTCCATCTTGTCATATAGATGAATTCCATAGTGTGATCTTTCCCCATGATCTCCCCATTGCATAGTACATCCAGCTTAGAAAGAAAAGGAAAAGGGAAGTACTGTAAATCATAAAATAGCCTTAAGAGTAAAAAACACAAACATAAAAACGCCAATTTCCTTTAAATTCTTGCAATGTTATATACTAATCAGTTTTAGGAAACTGATTAGAGGAAATGATAGGGAGTATAAATGAGAACACATTATCCTAGTGCAACATTGTTGATCATTGTTTAACTGAACAAAATACAAACGAAATGGCCCTGATCCAGAAAGATCTTTTTTTACAAGTCCACATGTATTTTCACTTTCACTCCAGACAGAAGACCCAGCATCTATACATGCCACCTACAATGAGACAAACTAGAAAAGCAGCTTGGATTCCGGCACATCAAACTGCAGTGTTTTAAAACCATGATTTACTTGGGAGTCCATTTGATTCCATTATCAGATTAGTAAAGGGCTTTTAGTGAGCATAGGAAAGCTACATGATTGTGATTTTTTAAAAAAGTAAGGTGGAGAATGTACAAATAAATTTGCATATGCTGCTTAAGGGGGGGGGGACAGCCAGTCTGATCATAAAGGAAGGTAAAGAATTATTTAGCATACAAGTACAGGAAACTGCCTTATACCAAGCTACAGTATTTGTCCATCTGGTCCACCATGGGCAGCATAAATATGCAACAGTTCTCCACAGTTTTAGGCCAAGGCCTTCCACGTGATCTTAGAAAAACAAACTGGAGATGGCAGAAACTGAACTTGGAACTTAATGAATGCAGCCATGTGCTGTATCCGTAGTGCTATGTTCCCTCTTCAAATCACTATTTATGGCCAAAAATGCCAATGCTCAATTTGTTGGCATTTATGGTTATAGAACCTGCCTTACTCCTACAGCTGCTTTCACCAGTTAGAGGTGAAGGCTGGATTATTAATGTCTCATTGTCTGAGTGAGACAAAACTTCCTGTTTCATTGTAATAACACCCATCTATATCTCAGAGTTAGGAACAAATACCATTTCAGATGAAGTAACACTTTCACTGAGGAAATGCAGTTAGTAGCATTTTTCACTGGGGTCCCATTAATGCTGATTTCTCAGTGAATAATAATCCTCAGTAAAAGATAGGCTTTACCCTCGATTATGACACTAAAACTGCAATCCCATGCACACTTACACTGGAGTACACTGAACTCAGTGTGACCGGCATCTTAGTAAATTTGGAAAGGGTTGGCTTATTGATATTGCAGTGCATGTTTGACGTTAAAGCCAAACAATATTTGTACATCTGAAGCCTGACATGATATGTCCATTTAACTTAATCACAGGAAGGAGTGTAAAATCTTTGGCTTGTTGTCTATCATACCTCATAAGAACTTGGAAGCTTTAATTTTAAACTTAGAAACTTCTTGATAGTCCCTACAGTAACTCGCGTAGAACACCGGATGAATTTCTTCATCAGTCCCTAAAGGAAAGAAGACAAAAAACTATAAATTTGAATACACATTTCAGTCTTTGTTGGGTTCCAAAATGAAACCCAATGAAAAACAGACAAACCTGCTTGATCATTCATAGGATGAGAAAGTACTACAGCTAAGTGGTAGAACACATTTAGAATTTGGAAGCCTTAGGTTAGCTTCATTTGACAAACTTTCAGTGACAACACAAAAGCTACTCTACTTAGCATTTTTGTTATAGCAGTGTTGTTTTAGGGCAGCATGCCAGCTCTTATAAAGGTAGGCTCACAGGTGTAACAGAACTTTTATACATAGAACACTTTCCTTGTGAGATACAATTGGCATCCACTCTTTTAACCTTTCAACAGCAGCTGAAAACCTGGTTATTTGCCCAGGCTCTTAGTGGACTTCATTGTTAGTACTGATGTTTATTTTAGTTGGCTGGTTTTAACTACTCTATTTTTAGTACTTGTATAATGTGTCTCAATTTGTTTTAATTTGCAGTGAAATGGAATGGCATTTGCAATGAAGGGCAGGTAAGAAATGTTTTAAATAAAACACTGACATTTGAAGACCAAACAACATATCTGCCTATATTTTCGACTGCCGCTATATGGGAAAGTAGCAGGCTGATTTCAAGTGGAGAAGTGGCGATAGGCAACAGGGTGTGAAACTTCCCCTGCTGTTTTATGTATTCTAACAAGACTCAGTGACTGAAAATGAGCCCATGGGGGTGGGGGGCAACCTGGGTACAGGTGTTCCAAAGCAAAAGCAGGGGAAGGGTTCAGCCTTCCTAGTTTTGAAAAAGAATATTATAGGTTTGTGGGTCAGTCTGGATGATACCCTGGGTCCCTCCAAGCCTGTGCTCCTGTATCAAGGAGGCTTTAAATCTACTAGAAAAGGTTGCTGAACTGGTCAGACTTTTGTCAAGGTCACTGTCCCTGGCAACTTAAAGAATGATCTCTGTTGCCATAGAGACAAATGGATGGACTCCCCCCCACCTCACCTGGCTGGATGCCTTGCCATCCTAGGATGGAGAAGAATGGGCCAAGGAGGGCCGTGTATGTGATGCTGATGCTGGAAGCTGGAGACACAGAAGCATATTTGCTCTGTGCTGGACTCAGAGTGGTGACTTGGAGCTTCCCTGGCTTTTGGGCGTCCCTTGGGGAAGCAAGATCTGTTTGGGTGTTAACGATGTATTCTAAAGACAACACAGTCTCTACTGACCTTCATCCCAAGGAAAGTGAACCCTGGGTAAATGCAGGCACCCTTGGCACCTCTCACTGCTCATGAAATAGAGGTTGCACACAATGATATAGTTGCAGGAAATTAGAATCTTCAACTGTCAACAAAGCTACGCTGTTTACAGCATGAAGATAAAAAGGGTTCATATACTGCTCGAGTTATTTAAGAAACAAAAATATTATCAAAACTTACTTTTACTACATTATCCCCGGACTGCCCATTGTTACGTAAACAATCCAGACAAATAGCAATCTGTGGGTCACTCCTGTGATAGTCTTTATCATCTTGATTTTCATCTCCATCTTCATCATCTTTGGGATCTTCAGATTTTGGATTTTCTTCTGCATAAATAAAATGAAATAAAACGTACCATTTACACATATTCCACAACCTTCAAACAAATGGACTAAGAATGAAATCCACAGTATGCTTAGTAAGCAGTAAGATGTACTGAAACCAGTGAGGCATAACTCAATGTGGTGGTGCTGAGTGTTCCTTCTTTGTGTGGTGGCAGTTGCACATGCAGTCACGAATAGGTCTATTTTATCTATTCTGCTGTTCAATATCTTCACAAGACTGCTATGGGAGGTTTTTTGGGTTTGGGAGGGAGGTGCCATCAGTATGCTGATGACAATAACACCCAATTCTATTTCTCTTTTTTCAGATTACAGATTTTGACAAAAAAACAAAAGCCCAAATCCTTTCCTTATGTATGCCCATGTGAAACATTTCAGATGCACAAGAATGCTCCTAGGAGGTATAACTGGATAAAAAACATTAGAAACAGCATAACATATATTCTCTATATGCACAACTATGTAGACAACCAACTCTAGAAGCTAAGCATTTTACCGTATGATGTGTATAAATAAGCCATGTAACTAATAGCTGCAAGAGTTAACTCCAAGGGAAAAAGCAACAGCTGAACATACAGGTATAGTTTTGTGAGCACTGACTCTCATGCAGCTTTTGACGTCTGAAATTAAAATACACTGGATCTTATCAAAACGTTACTTAAAAAAAATCAAGGATGTAATTACCATCTCCATTTTCTTGAGGTTTGTTTTTCTTCCAGAATTCAGTCTCACGGTATAGTTCCTCTAGTTCACAACAAAAAAAGGAGCATGATATTTCAGTTCAGTTATGCTGGAATATCAACAGGATTGCAAAGAAAAGAAAGCAAGCAACCAAATGAAGAGGGGGAAACTTACGTTCTCGAAGCCCTGGGACCAACTTAAATATAATTTCCTCTAATGTGTTATCCAGCCTGAAGAGAGATAAACAGAAAGAAAACAAGTCTTCTTGACGTCTTTAAAAAAGTTATCTTTTTTTTTTTTAAGCTAGCTGATAACAGATTTTATAAACATGCATTGTAGAACTTGAAAGGAAACGAGGAACAAAACTTTCAGGACACTGTTTTTGGCAACAATTATTTAAGCTACAAATTCCCCAAACAACTATACAGACATATTTAAACATTGTCTGTGATCCCAAAGTGCCTTCCTACAGAGAAGACTACCCACAGAATGCCTGGCCTTGCCTCCTTCTAATCAACCTCTGTTGGAAGTTCTACCACTAGTTGCAGTTTTATTGAGAATGTATGGAGCCAAAAAATATTGACAGACAAATGGAAAAGAATGTAGGGGGAATAGGGTACCATTTTTTTCTTTGTCCACTAAATGTATCAAAATCTTTTCTCTGGTATGTGTGTGTATATCGGGGGGAGGCATCTAGATATTACAGTTTTCAGAAGAAAGATCTCCAGAGAAGAAAAGTATAAAAATTCTCTATGTCCTCAGAGAGAGAAGCCTCCATGGCAGTACTCCGTAGAAAGCAAAAACTACACACAACAGTAAAATGTGTAGTTTGGCTCATTGTCCCATAATGCTAAAGGGACTTTATTTGCCCCTTTAAAATTTGTCTGCAAACTTCCCCTAAAAATAACATGGTCACAGTCCTGTAATTTAGGTTTAGGCTGTTCAGCCTCCCCGCCTAACAGCTGATGTATGTGGTAGCACAGCAGCCATCGCCAGTTTTCCCCACGTCCTCCAGGCCCCAGCCAGAAGCAGTACTTTTGATCTGGATTGGAGAGAGACTGGCAGAAAGGGCATTTAAAGGGTGTTTAGAGGGTGCTCCCCACTTATGTAATGCCCACTTGTGTGCATGGGGTGCCGGAATATAACCCCTGCGTAAGTGGGGAATTAAAGGGATGCAGGGTCGTATGAGAAGCTTCAGGATTGGTCCCTGTGAGCAGCTGACTGATCTAATGGGCAGACTTTCCCCTCAAACAGATCAGATTGCAAAACTCTTCTGGAAAAAGGCAGTCCATAAAAATCTACTGATTCTCCTGTCCATTTACCAGTACAGAGCCAATAGACCAGTTTTGTCCTAAGCCAGTAGCAAACCACAGAGAGACAAGTTGCATTAACTGCCATTGACTGTTATGAACTGGATAGTATTCATGCTCAGTTACTAATATTATATATATTTTATTACAGTTTTGATGTACTTGTGCTGAAATGGGATTTCTAATAAACATTAAAAGTGAAGGTAGTCATGAAATATAACAAAATGAGGACACACAGCAGATATTTCACCTGTACTGTCTGTGAGCACAGTTTTGCAATTGTACTAACAGATGAGCACAGAATAATTTCAATGCTGGTTCAAGCCATTAGTCCTGCCTCACCTGCTTCCTTCTCTGCTGCCGCCACCTCATGCAACTGGAAAGAAATAAAAATAATTCCCTGCAACTGAGTGCCTGATGTGAAAGCATCTCAGATACAGTGGTTTCAGAAGAAACTTGTGCAACAGATTATAAGGGAACTGAAATCATTCAGAAGAGGCTCCCTGTAGGTAGCCATTCATGACCCAAGTCATTCACTTTCTCCTGCCAGAGAAGAAGTGGAGGTAGCGGCAGTACTGACCAAGGGAGAAGGCTGTTGGTGTGATCCAGCATACATGTCTTTTCCTATAGTTTCTTACAACTCTACATATAGTAATGCTACCTTGCAACTTAGAATAAGAATAGTTCTGGAAATCTGGGCTTCCTGTTCTTTAACAACAAAAGATAGTTCTGTGCATCTCTTTAAAAATCTGTAAAATCTAGGACATGGATCCTGTTGCAGTTAAACTGTGTTGCAACTCAACCACTGAAACCAACAAAACACATTATATATCCACTTTCCAGTATGACCACTTGGTTTGGGGAAGTTTTTTTTTTCTTTTTACATCTTAACCTCTTCTCCCACTATAGAAGTATCCCCTAATAGTCATTGTCAGGGAACTGACATCGGAGCTAGAGGCGGAGGGAAGGCTCTCAAATGATGCTGGAGAAGGGCCCAGCAGGGAGAGAGGCAGCTCAGCAGATGGGGAAGCAATTCAGCGCAACACCAGGAATAAAGAGGGGCAGATGGGGGAATCAGCGAGAGGGCTCCCAGACTCTTCACCGGACACCAGCGGGGAGAGCACGGGTCCTCCGCTACCCACGCCCTCCCTGCGCAGAAGACTTCCGCGCAGAGAGAGTAGGAGGAGACTGGGTGTCAAACAACTTTTATGTTGGAAAAGGTTTAAGAAACGCCCACTGACGGATTCTGCTAGCGACTGAGGCAGCCACGAAGTGAAGAGCTGTCCAGACTGAAAGGTTTAACAAGGCAACAAAGCCAGGAGAGGCGGCAACTTACGCACGAGCAACTCATACTCTTTACAGTCATATTTGAAAAGTAAGATAAATTGCTCATCACATTTTTGCCTCCTTAACAATGCAAAGATTCTGGTTTGCAGAGCTCAGTTGGGGAGGAAAGAAGGTGAAAAACCCTGCAGATTCAGCAAAAGAAAAAGGGAGCAAAGAAGCAGAAACAGCCATGATTTCCTGGCATTATTTTCCCAAGGATATTTCCCTACTTGCTTCCCCATTACAAACAGGCACCTAATTTTCTTCCAAGCCCATGATTATGTAGTCTGATCCCCCTACATGTTAGTTTTCTGTATTCTCTCCTACCCTATCCCTAATCTCAAGGACATTTAAGGTTCTTGCGATTTTTTTTTGTTTAAAAGGCCATTTATGTGCACCAGTTAGTTGTTGTTTTTTTAAGAAAGAAACTGAACTGATAAGTCATTGCACTGCACTGCATAACAGACAATTATTCTGCACTGCTAGGAGCAGAGGAGCGGGCAGACAGGTAAGGTAAAAAGACATGATTACACACACTATTATCATGGGATTGCATCCTGGTCCATCTGAAAGCTTGGAGAATTACTGCCACTCAGCATAGATGCAATAATGAGTTGTATGGACCAATGCTCAGACTCGGTATGGCAGCTTTCTATATTCCTATAGGTAGCCAGTCACGTCAAAAGGCAATTTAAGACAAACTCTCTCCACTGAAATAATTTGTATTTAATATCCTCTTACCGTAACATTTCTAATGGATTGGTCTCATGAACTTGATTGCCACATCTGGGACAGTCATTGCTTTCTTCGAAGTGCTGCACAATACAACTCTTACAAACTACAAAATCAAGTAAGAAATAGGTATTAGAAAAAAATGTAAATTGGATGAATGATTTCTGAATGCTATCATTTAAAAGAGCATGCCCACACCTATCACAAGTGCATCCCAAGTTCCTTCCTGCCTTCTTCATATAGTGTTGGGATTTTCTTTCCAGCACACCTGGTAAAATCTGCTGACTTCTCTAAACTGATTTGCATGTGCCAAGCTGCTCTCAAAATTCAAATCAGAGCAGAAGCCAGGAGCTCCATCTGCACAGAGCATGCAAGGAGATTCAGATAGGCTGCAGAGCTCTCTTTTAATGTGATTCTTTTCAAAATAACTTAAAAATTTAAAGCCAGGACAGGGAACTGAGACTCCCCAGATGTTGTTGAACTATAGCTCCCACCATCGCAGGCCATTGGCCACAGTCCCAACATCTGGAGGGCCACAGGTTACCCAACACTGAATTAAAGTAACCATCAAGATTTATCATACCAATTTAGGGAAAACACAAAGCAAAGCTTCTGGATTTGGGGAAGAGACAGATTTATGTTGCACGTGTGCCTGCATTATTTATTTAAATATTTTAATTCAGCATTTTCTCTTCCATCAAGGCAGCCAACAGCAACATTAAGGAAAACCCCCCACAGTATCTGAACTTCTGTGCCCCTTCAGTGGATACCACCAGGTGTAAAGGGGAGAAATAAGTCTCCAAATACTTGCAGTAGACATGTACAGGGAAGTTGCCATTGGCAACTTCCAGGTACATGTCCACCATGGCCCAACTTGGACATCATGCTAAACCATGGAATGAGCCCTGAAATGAGCCCTGGACTTCTCCCATGTACCTTGGAGTAGAACTCTGCTAATGTTTACTTTCAGTTTCTTCTAATCTTAGTTTATCGTCACCTGCAAACCAGATATTGTGAGTTATAACAAACAAATTTCCAACAAGCCCACTTCAAAGCATGGCTTCCAAAGCCTTTTTTCCCTTTTAACTGATCAGTCAGCTATAATCATGATTCTTGGTTTGCATACAACAATAGACAGAGATCAGGGGGAAACTGAAAATAAATGTTTTTGGTCATTCTCCCACCCATACTGGATGGGAAATTATGTGAACCCTAGGCTTGCTCATGTTAGTTCTGCATGTGATGCTAAACTAGGTATGTGGAACCTGTGTCAGTCTACATATTAATTCTCCCTGACCATTAGCCGTTCTGGGCAGGGCTGATGGGACTCTGAATCCAACATGTGGACTACAGATAATCCACCACTGATTCAGCATGACATATGAATGTGGTGCATGTACATTTATATATACACAAACCCCTTTAATATTTATTACACTTATCCATCACTCTTTCTCCTAGGAGCTCAGAGAGGCTAACATATGATTCCCAAGCAGTTTTCCATCCAGGCATTCTATAGCATTTAGCTTTAACAGTAGAAGTGAATCATGCACCTGCAGAACACTTTAGTTACACTTTTTTTTTTACTGTGACAAACACTGGTATACATGTGGCAAACATGCTTACACAGGAAGGTGACCTAGAATGTAAATCAGGACACTACTTAATTCGTTCTGAGTGGAGGCCTCATAAATGCAAGAATGAAAAGTTTATGGGTGCTACCTATCAATCTGTAGGACCATTAGGACCATTTTATTAAAACTACTCATCAAGGGAATTTAAACCTTGTACAGGATTGGCCTGTCAGTCCCACTTCATGACATTTTTGTCTTTAGCAAAAACTTCAGCAGTTTCGTGGCTTGTCAAAATGTAACTACTGAACAAAGTTCTTTAAAACAACTTTTTTTTTTTTTTGCTTCTTTTAAGTTGAAGGCACCGGTAGATCTAAGAAAAAATATAGAATCCAAACTATGTCAACCTCCAGAAAGAACACAGTACCCTGTGACACTTTTGTCACAGGCATAGCTCAACTATTTAAACTTCCTTCAACTATTTGAAATTTCTGGTATTAAGGAATAACTGTGATATATTCTGTAAGTGATACTGTTTGAATATTTGAAGTGTATGCTATGGATACTATGATGTGTATATTACGCAATAGTATAATGATGCATAAACTTTTATGTCTTGGTTTTAAAATTATGTTGTGTAGTGGCTGGAGTGTGGGACTAGGATCAGTGAGATCCAAGTTCAAAACCCCACTCAGCCATGAAACACTGAGTGACCTTAGCCCAGTCACTATCTTACAATCTACCTCGCAGAGTTGTTGTGTGAGGATAAAATAGAGAACCATGCAGGTTGACTTGAGCTCCTTGGGGGAAAGGCAGGGCATAAATGTAGTAAATAAGATAAAATAAATAATTGGAGCAAAGACCATTTTGTTCCAAAGACAGATGCCTCACATAATCCTACTTACAAGTATGGAGGCACTCAGTTACTGTCGTTGGTTTGATAAGATATCCTTTACAGATACAACAGGTGATATGGGGATTGAAATCTTTCACAAAGTGCTTCCTCTGGGTAGCCATTCGTGGCACAGGCTGCGGCAATAAAATGGTTTGGACCCGATCCGTGAATCTGCAAGGCGAAGGTGGCAGGATCACAGGAGCCGGTGAGCTGCCCTGCGCAGCTGGACTTCTCCAGGCATTTGATCAAAATCCAAGGGTCCTCAGGGGGTCACGATTCCTAACCTCTGCTTCTTTTTGGAGTTAGACATCTTTGAGCCCTGCAGCACACATAAAAAACGAAAATAAAACCCAGGAAATGGAAGTCTGACAACAGAGATGATCCCGCAGCCACAACGCAAACACAAAAGATGTTTGAACTGGCCCGAGGAAGGAAGAAATGCCTGCAACATTTGCATGTTCGTTGAAGTTAGTAAGGAAAAGCAGGAGGTAGGGAGCGCCTAAGAGCTTGTGATAAGAACTCAGAGCTACAAGAGAAACCTCGAAGCTGGCAGTAGGCTTGTCTGTCCCCTGAGAAGCTGAGGGAGGGGGCTGCTCAGTTTCCTTCCAACAGTCAAGCCCCTTCCATAAACGGGGTTAGCAGGAGAGTTTGTTTCTTCCTTAGGTTTTTTTAAAAGCTATTTACTCTCTTTCTTTATCACCCCCCACCCCCGCAATTTATGGTCTCACAGCTTGGTCCCGGTCTCAGGTCTGCCCCTCGGACTCTCCCTCTCTTTTACGGCACCCGACGCCCCGCAGGCGCTCCCCGCTCCGCCCTGCGCGCCTCTCCTCTTCAGTTTCTCATACCTGGCGCTTCCCCCGGCCCGCTCGCCTGCCGGCGAAAGAGAAAGGGAAAGAGCAGGCGCGCCCGGCCTACGTCTGACTGAGGCCGACGGGACAGCCCCAAAGCGAGCCGTCCTCCGTCGCCTGGGCCACGCCGTCGCTGCGCGCGCACGACGTCCTTTCAACCAGGGCTCACCTGGCCTCCCAGAGCCTCCTTTCAGCCCTGAAGCAGAAACGGAGGCCAGCGCGCCTGAGCACGTGCAGAGTGCTTTTCCTTCCGCGCTGACCAAGAACCACTGGAACCGCGGCGCGTGCGCGGTTGCAGGGATCTGGCTAGGGCGAAGACAGCCGGTCGCCCAAGCCCGGCTCCTTTGGCTCAGAAGCCCGGAGTTAAAAACACACTTGCATTGTCAGCAAGACTGCTCAACACCGGTCTTCAAAGAAGCCAACGCCTAGGGGCGGGCTTCCTTCGACCCCCTTAAATTATTTGTGGGCGTTGTACCCCCAAAGTTGATGGGCTTGCCATTCAAATGTAGGGTGTGTGCGGAACAGGGCTTAACTGCCCCCCCCTTATTTTACTCAAGTTGGCATCCCTGCCAGTCTTCATTTGATTGGTATGAGGCAGGCGTGTGTTTAAGTCAGAGATCAGGTTTGGAGATAGCCTTGAACCCTGGCATCTCTCCTGGGCTCTGCCTTTAGAAAAAGGCACAAGGTATTACTTTTCCCTTAACCGCATCCAGCAAGTGTTGACAGAAAAACACTCCCGTGAGCACCTGTAGAATGGAGCGAGGATGCTAGTGGCTTGGTAGGCGCTGCTGCTCTCAGATATGTGGGGCAGAGCCTAGAGATAGATAGTGTTGTTGCCCCCTCCCCCATTAGAGAAAGAGTCCCCTTTCATTCCAGATCACATTGCTATACTCTTCAACTGCACCTGTCTGAACAAGAGTCCAAGTAGCACAAACTGGAAGTTGCCATGTCCACACTAACAAATCACACTTCACTGGCTTTCCCCTCCAGGAAAAGCACCTTCTGAAGGTCATCCCTTGCAGTGGAGAAGCATCCCTTTCCCTGCCAAATTATTCAAGAAGGTGAATACTGGGACGACAGCAACTTCCCTCCTCACTCCCAAGAGAGAATGAATGGGCTTTTTGTGGCAATAAAATATGAATGTTTTTAAAATTCTGTAGAAATGGCTGCTCCGCTTGCCGTTAAAAAAGTGAAGCATTTCGTCACAAGCTTGAAACAAATACACCTATTTTCCTTCGTTAAATCTTGGATGAAAAACAAGCCATAAAACATTTCAAAATATTACAGCGGAGTTGTGAATTAAATAATCCATACCAGATCGCTACTGTTGTTGCCCTGTTCAATTTTGAACTTGCCAACCTGAAATAAAAGCTTCCCAAACAAGGAACTCTTGGGATATCCATACATTTTAAAAATCAAAATAGCCTGAAGTACTGAATTCAATCTTTTCTTGATCATTCAAGTTTATTTTAAATAGCTGCATATATGTAATGCTGAAGTATAATCCCTAAATTCCTTTACCCCCCCCATTACTTCTACCTGCATTCACCTTCCTTTCCTCTACTGCCTTCATTACATCTGTTTGTAGACTGCAAGCCCAACTGAGGCAGAGTTTGATTGGTCTACTTATTTTTTAAGGACAATATGCTTGGAGACACTTTGGCCCATGTAATAACTGCACAACATACTCTAATACATTCTCTATTTAAATAATGGGAATGAACACAAGGAACTACTACATGTTTGATTCAGCAGTGATATTTAAGCAGGCTAATTACTGGAGATCTGCTTGTCCCTTGGCTGTGAATTACTATTTCGGTACTAAGTACACATTTGTTACACACAGTGACAGGATACTGTGCTCATTATGGTATAATTTGGGGACAGAACAGTACATAAATGTAGCTGATATGTAAACATACCTGATGCTATGTTCTAAACCTCAATATATTTAAAGAAAAAATACAATTGTTTTCAGTGTGGTTTCTGACTGTGTAAAAGTCACAACAGACAGACAGACAGACAGACAGACAGCAGTAACAATGCATCTGGCTGAAATCATGCAGATATGTTGTCTCTACCAAAATTAGCCAGCTGTATGACTGCATCAAAAACTTCCCTTTTCAGGAAATTTGTCATCTAAGGGTAATGGAAGAATTGCATCTCCTGCTGCGTTGCTGCCAATAAGCTTCCATTCCTTTTTTTTTTAATTAAAAAACCCCACAACTCCATATTAGTCAGGCAACTTGACAATTAATTAGCCACCTTTCTACAGTTCACATAAAACATAAAAACAATAATATAAATCCAGCGCCACGAAACAATAAACAAACAAAACCAAAACCAAAAAAACAGAAGCAGCAACAGGAAAGTTGCAAAAACTGTCAACACTGTGACTCTCAATTGATGGTGGAGGAAAACCCCAAGATCAGCTATGGTGTATTATGTTAGTTATAAAACCAGAAAAGTAGCTTCACCTGCAGACCATTTCCAGCTTTTTTCGTAAGGCACATGTCCCTAAACTGCAAGCATAGAGCAAGGAATATGAAAAGACTAAACCTATTGTACACTTCAGTTGTTTTATCACCCCGATATTTTTCGACCATAATACAGGTCTTTTTAAAATCTCATACAGGCTTGAAAGAGCTATACTTTAAAGAGAAAGTATATAATATAGAACTATCAGACAAAGATTTACAGAAGTAATAGCATAACACTTAAAAATTACGTCTCAAATAATGAAATATTTGTCCCATACAACTCAGATGCAATTTATTTAGCCTGGATTCCCCTAAGGTACAAGAGGATTATGGTGCCGGCTGAAGCAGAAATTTGCTTTCCCTTGAAATCAGTGGACCAGTGGATGCATTTAGGATTAGGGTGTGTACGTATAACTTTGATCATGACCTAAACATGTAGCATAAACAGATACATACACACTATCCTGGTTATTGCTAAATGTCTGGTACACTGGTCCTACAGTATAAATTACATTAGAGATTAGCTCTAATAGTTGTTCTGTATTTGCTTTGCAGAGCAGACCACAAAACTGGTTTGATTACTAACTTTCACATAAGTTATTGGGACTTATTGCTCTATCTATGCTATACTTATCTTGATCCCAAACTTTCATTATCAGTTCTAATTTCTAACTCCATATATGCCTACCATTAAATGTTCTTGATCCGTTTGATCCCATTAAAGGGACAAAAGTAAATCTAAACCATTGCCTTAAAAAAAAAAAATATTTCAAACATGCTATCTACGGCAAATGTTTATACTAGTTAAAGGGCAGGACACTGGATTTTGACTGATTTTCATGGCAACTTGTCATGGCATGGAATTTGTATAGACAAGCAAGTTTATGTCTAGGATTGCAAATTAACTGAAGAAACCCTTTTTGATTTCTCATATAAGTTTTTATGTACATGGAAAACGAAGCTTTCAGTTAATCATATGATTTTTTTAATTATTCATTTGGCAAATAATGCAACTTTAATTGATTGGCAAAACCCCCTCTGTGGGTTGTAGTTGACTATTCAGATGTCAGTCCTAGAAGGAATTTGATAAATTATTTCAGAACAATGGTTGTGAAGCAAAACTTCGTTTTTATTTTGGTGCATTCCTACGCCATCTTCAAAAATACATTTCCTTCTGTGTAAGTACTTTTTATAAGTAGCTATTATTATTATTTTTTTTAAAAAACCCTAATTTAAAAATAAATTAGAATTGGTATGCAATTCTAATTGTAGCAAAAGCTAGAATAAATTGGCACCTTAGTGTCAAATGCTAACTCGCAGCACAATCCTGTGCATGTTTACTCAGAAGTAAGGCACTGTGTACAATGAGAATTACTCCTTGAAATGTGACTCTAGAGTTGCAGCCTTAATTAAACACTCAAGGAATAACAGTAAAATTAGCACATTTTCACCCATCTACTGTATGCTTAAAATTAGTTCATTTGAGTTAATTGTCACATATAAATGCCTCCGGATTGTGAAAAGCCAACAATATAGTGCTTTCAGACAAAGAGTACTCAGACTGTGTGATAGCAAGCCTCCTTAAGTCTAGGGAAAATGGTAAAAAGCCCCTTTCAAAGCCACTCTGGCTAAATCTATTTTTAAATTAAAGTTTTATTGTGTTTGCTTTTAGATGCTTTTTGATTGTTTTAAAACATTTTAAGTAGGTTTGTTCGCTTTTTAAATGTATTGCTCTATCACACGTGTTTGCTGCCCTAGGCTGCTTTGTGAGGAAGGGCAGGATATAAATTTAGTAAATAAAGGGAACATAGGGCTTGCCCTATTCCCCTAAGACAGCATATAAAGGAATCTCTCGATTATTTTGTGTATTTTTTTAAATACCTGCATCTAAAGAGCTATTTTAAGCATATCCAATTATTTATTTTACTGTTCTAAGTGCTGCCACCCCAATTTTACACCACAAGAACAAAACAGTATCCAACGTATCACGGCTTGTTTTCATTTTCCAGGTTCACAGGAGCGAATTTCGTATACCTTTTGTACAGATTTGTGGAGGTTGTCATTACCTAGCTAGTTATACAAATTTGTCCATAATTTGTAGTGATCAATTGAGCACTATTGCCTCCAGAATCTCTTCTCCAGCTTATGATGTTAAATGAGATTTTGCACTGTCTGCTTTCAACAGGCGCAGCATGCAAAAGCCAGCTGATTTGTTAGGTACACACACTCAAGCTCTTTATCATTTATCCCTTACTCTCAATAGAACTCTTGATTGGTTGTTGAGAAAAAGCACAGGCAGCCACGTTAGTTCGTATGTTCCAAAATCTACAGTAATGCCAACCAGTGTCGTAAAATAAGCGAGCAGGCTTTTGAGTTCTTCTGAGCAGCTTAGCATGCTGGAGGTTAAGCAGACTTTGAAAGATGGATGGCCCTTTGTCCTGGGTGCTTTAGTTGCGATTCCTATATTGTAGGGGGTTGGAGAAAATGACTTTTGGGGGTCCCTTCCAATTCTGAGATTCTATAAAAACAGGAGAAGGAGTGGGGAGAAGCTGGCGTGATGTTAAAAAAAGTCATAAAGTCTACAGCTGTTTGAATGGCTTTCTCGGACAGCATAATCCTATACATGTTGATGCAGAAGTATGTCTCACAGTATTCAGTGGGCCTTATTATCCAATACTGTAAGTGTGTTTCAGACTACAGGCAAAATAAACAATAACACACCATAAAACAATATAACTAGGGTACTAACAAAAAGCAGCAGCTGACCGCTGCCACTTCCTTCCCCAATGCCTACCTGTGTGGTCCAAGAAGTAGAAGAGTCATAGAATCATAGAGTTGGAAGAGACCACAAGGGCCATCGAGTCCAACCCCCTGCCAAGCAGGAAACACCATCAGAGCACTCCTGACATATGGTTGTCAAGCCTCTGCTTAGAAGAAGAGTTTGGATTTGATATCCCGCTTTATCACTACCCGAAGGAGTCTCAAAGCGGCTAGTATTCTCCTTTCCCTTCCTCCCCCACAACAAACACTCTGTGGGGTGAATGGGGCTGAGAGACTTCAGAGGAGTGTGACTAGCCCAAGGTCAACCAGCAGCTGCATGTGGAGGAGCGGGGACGCGAACCCGGTTCACCAGATTATGAATCTACCACTCTTAACCACTACACCACACTGGCTCCAAGTCTTACAGTTTCAAAGGAAGTTCATTGAGGTACGTGGTGACTGGTGCCCACTAGGTAGGGTAAAAGGTAAGGAGGCCAGAGACAATTATGGGCAGAGCCAGCTAATGTTAGCTTTGTCTTCCTCCTCCCTGCTGCATTTTAGAAAGGCAACACTTGAGACTGAGGAAGAAGCTGGTAGCCAGTGCCACCCTCTAGTCCAGGGGTAGGCAACCTAAGGCCCAGGGGGCAGATCCGGCCCAATCGCCTTCTCAATCTGGCCCACGGATGGTCCGGGAATCAGCGTGCTTTTACATGTAGAATGTGTTCTTTTATTTAAAATGCATCTCTGGGTTATTTGTGGGGCAAAGGAAGTCTCTCATCCCCCCCCCCGCCAAATATAGTCCGGCCCGCCACATGGTCTGAGGGACAGTGGACTGGCTCACAGCTGAAAAAGGTTGCTGACCCCTGCTCTAGTCTGGCTGTAGGGAAAGAGGTAAACAGGTGGGGCTGGCTGAGAGAAGACTGGGTTTGGTGGGGCAGGGTCCGCTTCCTTGAATGGACCAGCCTCCCTTGCTAATGGTTGTGCATTCATTCTTCGTGGGTTTGTGCTCTGATGTTCGCACCTTTAGTGTTTTCTACAAACCAGTCCTCAGGATTCTGGTCAACAGGGGGTGGGGGAGAGGAAGAGAAAGCACAGAAACAATGAAAGGTGTTGGGAGGTTGAAAAAGTGATTACTAATAAAGAGGGGTGTGTTTGGGCATTATATGCTTTTCAGACAATCACAGTGAGAGTGATGCAAGAATAAATAAAATTAATACTTCAGAACAAACATAGTTATGTAAGTAATTTTTGATTGGCTTTTGACATGCTTCATTTTTGTGTGTCTTGTGAAGTTGCATAGGAGAAACTGCGCTCTGCACATACACTTTCTCAATTTGGAACATTCCCATTTCATGTTAAAGCTCATTAATGCCAGTGTGCCAACAGTCCCTGGAGTCTAGGCAAAACTGGTCCCCGAGTGGCAAGAGTGTTGTCTAGCAATGCTAACTTTCATTTTCCCACCAGGGACCGAGCATAGTGCTGTTTCAGCATTGGAGCTGCTTTCCACAGAGAAAAAGAGTAACCCATTTCCCCCCTAGCTAACTCACCATACAACTCGTTGCACAGCCTTTCAAAGTTGTTGCGCAAGATTGTAAGGGCCAGGTAGTTGAGAGCGCCATGATTCAGATTGGTGGAAAGGGTTTCTTGGCCATGGAGGAGACAAGTGAGAACCAGGCGGTTATAGAAAAGCAGGGAAATGCCTGTTTTTAAAACTCAGATGAAAGGATGTGGTTTCTTTCGGTGGTAGATGGAGATGCACTTGGGCAACAAAATTCCTTCATAGGAACATGAACAAAAAACATGTCACAGTAGACAGCATGCTTACAAATGGGCCTTAGACTGGGCATTAGAAGAGATGAAATGGATCTTAAAGTTGACCAAGCTTTGCAAGTCCAGTCCTTATTGCAAAAAGCCCAAAGGTTTTTTGGAAGCAAGTTTGTTGTTGCCAAAATGCCACTGAATCCCACCTGCAAATAACAGTTGTCTGGAAGTGCCCCTAGACTAGCATGCCCAGGGGTTCCAAAACACCTGGAGATGGCTTAAACCAGGGCTTTTTTTCAGTCAGAACTCAATTCTGGCACCTGTTTTTCTAGAAAAACACATTATTATCACTCCTATTTTTTCTTCTTCCACACCGCACTATGTGAATGGTCATGAGGTTTCACAGCATTGACCTAGGGTTCTTTCTAGTGAAACTGTGCCAAAAACAGTGCATGAAAATTCATTAACTGTTTGTGTACATTACATTTAACTTCACTTCTGTCCTAAATGCCCATCATCTCCACCATCAAGAAAGCAATTGTATACAACACCTGTACAGGATATGAATTTGCAACAATGGACCAAGTATAAGGGTGCTTCATATATTACAGTAGAATTAGGAACACATGAAAAAATTAGCACATGGTATCTTATAAAACAATGATTGAAACATGGAACTAAAAAGAATTTACAGTTAAGGTATTCCAATCAGATCCAGATTAAAATATGTTGTGACAAAATCCACATTGTACCACCCTAGACATATTGCCAGATTGCATCTCAGCTTAAATTCTGCTAAAGAACTACAGAATCTTATCGAAACCTGTTGTTTCATATTATTTACTCTTACTGCAAACTCCCCTTTCCTCTTCTACCTGTATTCACAACTGAGAAGTTAGTTCAAAACATTCCAGTTAAAATTATGTCTTGTGCCTGACAAGAGCAGGATTATAACTCCTGTTCTAGTTCATTAGACAATTCAAAGGTATTTTCTCTTAAATATATGGGTGAATGAAGCGACTCAGCAGCTTTGTCTTTCCAGGCTGCAGTGTGATTTGTCTGTCTGTTTGTTTGTTTGTTTGTCTGTCTGTCTGTCTGTTTGTTTGTTAAAGCTACAGGGAGAAGGAAAAAGGGAGAGAGAAGTCCTCAAACAGCAAATACAGCTTTGTCACCAATAAAAAACAACAACTAAACACATCCACCTGCACTAATTTATTCAAGCTACTTTTTCACAGATGGGCAAGCGAATTTGGATGGTTAAAATGCAGTCTGTTATGGCGGACTGAAACAAATACATATGCAGCTTATTTGTTCAGTCTCCACTACAAACTATTGCCAATTTTAGATGAGCCAATCCTAGTTTCAAACCAGTGGCAGTTAACAGTTTCAAAACTAATATACCACACTAACATTTATTTATTTTTTAATGGGAAGTTGATATAAAAGTTGATTCTGGCTGGGAGCAGTTCACAAGATCTTGTATTTTTGTTCATATGCAAATGTCTCAAAGTTCATGTGCCATTGATCTTGGATTACAATTGGCCCTTGGATTACAAAGCCCTTTTCCGTACCTGGAGTAAAAATTGAGGATGCTTCTTCTTCTCTGCCCTTACTGAAATGCCCTTCCTACCCGTTTGCCTTTCCTAAAGCGTAATTAGGCGAAAGGCCTGCTTCAAAATATAATGTATGTCACCTACATGCCATCTTTTCTTCTACAGAGATGATGAGAGAAAACAACAGTACTGTATTCATTGCTGCTTATGAGTAATGATTACAAATCTACACTTCCCCCCCGCCCAAGATGGTAGTTGTAGTTAGCATATGATGCCTAAATGTGAAGCTTCCATCTCTGCACATGTATTTCATTTAGCCCTTTCCCTCTACTCGTGAAGCACAGGATTCTTTGGAAAAACTACTACTAATGCGGTAAAATCATAAAGAGGACAGACAACTCTGCAGTTTCCCCAAGTTCAGATAACTACTGCTCATGTTGAGTCTTGCTAAACACCCACAACAGCTTCTTGCCTCTACCCCTGTGTTTTACACACACACCACAAAAACCCCCACCAGTCTGTGCCAATACTATAATGCCTTATTATTACTTCCATTAAACCCAGTCTGTGGAATTCACCTGTTTCTAAATAATTCCTTCTGATCTTCACCAGTCACAGGATTTTATTATCAGGTATAAAAATCAACATGGAATTCAGATATGACCTTTGGGAGGAATTAGAGAGTTCATGTATAGATTACCTCATCTTTCTGGGAACATTAAGGAGAACCAAATTATCTGCAATAAGTATGACCTTGCCTCTTCTCATCCCTTTTTCATTGCAAAATAAGAATGGAACAGAGTAACGTAGGGTTCTTCTGGCCCAGGAAGGTTTGTGTTAGATGTAATCTTATCTCAACATATACAGAACTTTGAGCATTAAAGACAGCTACGTTCAGGTAAGAATCCAAAATACTGTGCTGTTTGGAAAGGCAGAAAAGTCTCATGTAATTCAGCACTTGTTTGATCTTCTTGTGCTGAGCAAAGTTTCCTTGTTTAATACTTTGATTTTTCCAACACAACATCCTGTGATTAGAGATTACTTTCAAGACTGTCTTGATTTTCTGCCCACAGTGCAGCCTATATTAGCCAGTTGGATGTCCATGACCTTATATATCATATCTCCACTATTCCTGTGTCATGTAACCAGTGGTGGCTGACAAGGTCCTTCGCTGGGTGAAATCACCCAGCATCGTTCCATGGCAACCAGGCAGGATTCTTGCTCATATCTTTTAGCCCTGGGAGGTGTAGGATAGGAAGGTTAGGAAGCAGCCAGAATCATGCGGGTTACAGCTACATGGTTTTTGACTGGATAATCATAGTTGTGCAGGCAAGGCCTGTTGGCATCAGCTTCAGCACACCTTGCCTCCATTGCTGCTTCCTGGTGCTTAACAGTGCGGATGAGAATTTTCTTCACCATAAAGCGACTGCTGGAGGCTAGCAAACCATCTCACCTCCTGTTGCTGCCTGCCATGGGCGTAGTAGCCAAGGGGGGCAGGGAGGCGCAGCCCCCCATCAATAGAAATCAATAAAAATGCACAGCTAACTGAGGTTCTGCCCCCCCAACAAAAATCCTGGCTACGCCTAAGCTACATACACAACAACCTTCCATCGTGATATACAGAAGCCACTAGTACCCAGCACTGTTAGCACTGATCACATCAATGTGTGAGGTTTCCTTGTAATGTTCCTGAACAGCACGGCTATATTTACATGCTGTTCATTCACCCTCATCCTGCTATACACCTGCACAGGATCAAAGCTGCAGGATCAGACGATGGAAGAATAACCTATGGATTTCTACTACTCCAGACAGAGCCTCACTAAAATGATTATTTGGAAGTGTTGATACTAGCAAGTATCACTAGCAGCCTGACCCTGCCCATCTTGCCCTTCACCTCTGTTGCAACCCTCTAATGCAGCAGTTTTCAACCTGTGGGTCCCCAGATGTTGTTGGACTACAACTCCCATCATCCCCGAACTCTGGCCTTGCTAGCTAGGGATGATGGGAGTTGTAGTCCAACAACATCTGGGGACCCACAGGTTGAGAACCGCTGCTCTAATGTAACATTAGAGCCTGCGGAATAGCTCAGCCGGTAGAGTAAGAGACTATTAATCTCAGGGTCATAGGTTTGAGCCCCATGCTGGGCAAAAAGATCCCTGCATTTCAGGGGGTTGGACTAGATGACCCTTGTGGTCCCTTCCAACTCCACAATTCTACGATTCTAAAGGCATAGCGCCTACTCTGCTAGTGCAACACCAAAGCATGTTGCACAGTGCTGGAAACTGACATACCGTATTTACTCAAATCTAATGCTCACCTTTTTTGGCGAAATTACGTTGTGAAAATTAAGGTGCGCATTAGATTCAATGGCACATTTACATTCACCAGCAAATACCTTTTTTGGTTTTAAGGTTCTGAAAACTGAGGTGTGCATTAGATTTGATGGCGCATTAGACTTGAGTAAATACGGTAGTATAAGATGTCAGGTCAGTATAGCTGCCCACAGTTGTATAATAGCCATATCAATGATATACGAACAAGAAACAAAGATTATCGTTACTGCATTCAGGGAGGCCTCTCTGCTTTTGTGGAACTGCAGACAACTTTGCCACTTCAAACATGGCCGTTCTGACCTGCTTTGCAACCTTTTCTTGCTAGCCACTGGGTTCTGCTTTAACTACATGAACTTGCAGGGTTGCCACTAATGAGAACAAAATCACAGCTAGGGTCAGATATAATAAGCCAAATAAAGACAATGGTTAAAGGAATAAATAGGCAACAGGGTCACTTTGAACTGACAAAGGACGGTGTGCATCTTTCAGATCCACCAGACTCCCACACAACCGGTGTCACTATGGGCAGTTTTCATACTGAGAGAACAATACAAGATGAACAATATGAGATGAGAACTGGCAACCACATAAAGTTTGAACATTTCGCCACAACTGTACACTCTTTAATAAAGCGGCCCTCCCCTTTCCCTAGGAAAAATGGAACAGCAAAGTGCTACCACTAGAATGGGTGCCTAGTTCAATTACTTCTGCCAGTGGATTTGAGAACCTTCAGATTGAAGTGGACTGGATTTTCAAGCCAAACCTACAGTAAGGGTCTCTATAGCCAAGCACAATTTCAGATAGAGTCCAATGCACAGCAGATCTATGGAATTTGCCTTGTTCACTTCTCATTCCCATTCCTTCTCAACCTTGCTGTCCTATCAGGACTAGTCATGGGGGCTTTTCCAGAAACAGGACAGTTAGTTGGGTTTTCATCCATTTCCTTTCAAACAGGAAAGCAGCAGTCCTTCCATTCTCAGTCAAAACAAATGTATGACACCCTTACCAGTTACAGAAAATCTTGCTACTTTTAGTCCCACTCTACAGACACTTTGAATATTTTAACACTTATTTTTACTTTGCAGGATTTATATTGTGCTCAATCATTGCAAACATCTAAGCGGTTAATATGAAATAATATATTCATTAGCATGCTGAGAAAAGGGTAAAAAAAGGTTGTTCTAATATTTGTCAGTAAAATCAGTAGTCTGGGTAAGCTTGTCTAAACAAAAAAGTGTTTAGGAGGTGCTGGAAGCAATACATCCAAGGTGCTTTCCTAATATCAAAGGGCAGAATGCTCCAGAGATTAGATGCTGCCAAACCGAAGTACTGATTTCTTTGAAGTGCATCAGAAATAAGGTCAAAGATAGTGATGTCAGGGGGTAATCAACAAAACTCCTGCGTTAGATCGAATCATAGAACCGTAGACTTGGAGGGGACCCCAAAGGTCATTCAGCCCAACCCTCTATAATGCGGCAATCTCAGCTAAATCATATGACAGATGGCCATCCATTCTGCTGGGAGTCCATCACCTTCTGAGGGAGTCTGTTCCACTCTCACTGTCAGAAAGTTCCTCCTGACGTTTAGTCAGAATCTCATTTCTTGTAATTTGAAGCCATTGATTTGGCTCCTACCCTCCAGAGCAGGAGAAAACAAGCTTGCTCCGTCCATAAGACAAACCTTTAGATATTTGAAGATCGCTGTCATATCCCCTCTTAGCCTCCTCTTTACCAGGTTGATCATACCAAACTCCCTCAACTATTCCCCATAAGGCTTGTTTTCCAGACCCTTGATCATCTTGGTTGGCTTCCTCTGCCAGCTTGTCAATATCCTTCTTCAGTCATGGTGCCCAGAACCAGACACAGTACTTCAGGTGTGGTCTGACCAAGACAGAATAAAATGGGACTGTTACTTCCCTTGATCAGGACATCAGACTTCTGTTGCTGCAGCCTAGAACAGCATTACTGTTTTTTGTTGCTGACTAATGTTACTAAGAAGGACACGGTTGGCGCTGTGGGTTAAACATCAGAGCCTAGGACTTGCCGATCAGAAGGTCAGCGGTTCGAATCCCCGCAACGGGGTGAGCTCCCGTTGCTTGGTCCCTGCTCCTGCCAACCTAGCAGTTCGAAAGCATGTCAAGTGCAAGTAGATAAATAGGTACCGCTCCGGCGGGAAGGTAAATGGTGTTTCCGTGCGCAGCTCTGGTTCGCCAGAAGCAGCTTAGTCATGCTGGCCACATGACCCGGAAGCTGTACGCCGGCTCCCTCGACCAATAAAGCAAGATGAGCGCCGCAACCCCAGAGTCGGTCACGACTGGACCTAATGGTCAGGGGGCCCTTTACCTTTTAATGTTACTAAGAGGGATGCGGGTGGCGCTGTGGGTTAAACCACAGAGCTTAGGACTTGCCGATCAGAAAGTTGTCAGTTTGAATCCCCATGATGGGGTGAGCTCCTGTTGTTCAGTCCCAGCTCCTGCCCACCTAGCAGTTCAAAAGCATGTCAAAGTGCAAGTAGATAAATAGGTACCGCTCCGGCGGGAAGGTAAACGGCGTATCCGTGCACTGCTCTGGTTCGCCAGAAGCGGCTTAGTCATGCTGGCCACATGACCGGGAAGCTGTACGCCGGCTCCCTCGGCCAATAAAGCGAGATGAGCGCCGCAACCCCAGAGTTGGTCACGACTGGACCTAATAGTCACGGGTTCCTTTACCTTTAATGTTACTAAGACCCCCTAGATCCTTTTCACATGTACTGCCAGCAAGTCAAGTATCTCCCATCTCAGATTTGTGCAGCTGGATATTCGTAGAACATCTCAACTGGTACACCCTGACCGGTTGTACCTAACTCCAACTGACTCCTCCAGCCTCCTGTGTGTACTTTCTAACCCAGCTTCATTGGTTGTTTGTGACACAAGGCAGTATTTGGACCAGTTCTTTGGCCTTCTATGTCTTTGCATGAAATGACAGAAAGCTATCACGATGACTATTTCTTTTTTCCAAGTAATATCTGGCATTAGGCAATGCTGTTTTAACTTTAATGGGGCAACAGATTTGACAGAATTTAGATGGCTGTTCTGATCCAGCATTCGTGGCTGCCATGGTACACTTGGTTGCTTTCACAGACATAGCTTCTGCAACATCCTATATCATACAACTGTGCAAGTCCACCATGCAGACCTGTTGCAGCAAATGGCCACTCTATGTTAGGCACACAGATCTGTGCAGACTTGTCTGTATTTGCAGTAGCCTGAAAGCCTGTAAGTTGGTTAATTAGCCACCAGAGTCCTAATATTGACATGCTTGCTCTCTGCCTGATTCTGAGTCATGAAGCACTGACACTGATGACGCTTGTACAGTGGTACCTCGGGTTACATACACTTCAGGTTACATACGCTTCAGGTTACAGTCTCCGCTAACCCAGAAATAGTAGCTTGGGTTAAGAACTTTGCTTCAGGATGAGAACAGTAATCATGCTCCAGCGGTGCAGCAGGAGGCCCCATTAGCTAAAGTGGAGCTTCAGGTTAAGAACAGTTTCAGGTTAAGAACGAACCTCCAGAACGAATTAAGTACTTAACCTGAGGTACCACTGTACTTGGCTTTTGTGGACAGCCACGGGGCAACGTCACAGGATGCTCTCCATCCTAAACAGCTCTTGGCTCAAAGACCCTTTTAACTCAATGGCTTGTCTTTCCTTAAAGGTGGTAACTCACTTGAACAATTAGATCTGGAGAACATTGTTTGGTACACCTAACTTTGGTAGTGGCTAGACTCATCCCATTTCTGCATAACGCCCATCTAGGCCTCTGAATTGCATCTGCAGAACATGCTCTTGGCCTAGTCCTCCCTTCTCTTTTGCCACTTCCAAAAGGGACACTGCATTCTTTCTCCCAGCTTCCACTTCCCTACTCTTGGCTATAGCAGAGCTAGCAACAGACTCTGTACATCTCCAGTCTGTCTATTCTGCAGCTCTGGGCTCTCTCCCTCTCCCCCTCTTCCCAACTCTTCTCACAGCCAGGGGTAGCATCAGCACTCAACATCCTTGGACACATCTGCCAGGGCCCTAGCAGGACCCATTGCCGGTGCCTGTTCTGGGGAGGCCTTAATCCCCTACTCCTGGCCCTCTACTGCTACAGCTCATCCAGACTTTCTTTTGTGCTATGCTTTCCAGGCGCAGGTCTACACTTTGCAAGTCCACCTGCATCCACAGGAAAACCCATTGTTAAGACTGAAAGGAAACAAACAACAATCTGCAGAAAACCCGTTTGCTGTGTGTTCTGATTCAGCAGTAAACAGCGGGGTTTCCTGGGGAAAGGTGCGGGGGCATAAAAACAAAACAAAACCTGCTTAGATAGTGATCTGAAAGGCACAGGCCTGTGCCTGGAAAGCACAGCACAAAGGGAAGTCTGGATGAGCCCTTAGTCAGATCATCAGAAACCACCAGAAGCAAAGGAACTGGGCAAAGTACATGCCCACAAAAAGCAGTAGTAGTAGTAGTAGTAGTACAGTAGTACTATTTTGCACAGTTACAGTCCTACTGGGGCCATGTGGCCCATCCTATGCACATTGATACTGGACAGGCACTTTGGTCACATTGTTATCAGCACCTGCTAAAAAGCTTTTTGTTTAGGCAAGCCTAATCAGATGCGACATGTATTTTAATAGGTATTTAAACTACTGATTCTATTCACATTTGGAGTTGTTTTAAACTTTTGACCTTTATAAATAGTATCTCTTACATGTTATGTAAGCTGCTTAGGAGTTTCAACAGTTCAGTGGCATACAATTTTTTTTTAATCAATTACCAATAAATAAATCCCAAACCACAGTCGTAGGGCACTAACTGCAAACTGTACATTTATGGAGTCAATTTACTTTGATTCTACAGGGGTGCTTGCTTTTGTATTTCATTTACATCTCACTTTCCTTCCATCACGAAACACAGCGCTCTCAGGTAGTTTTCTATCCAGGTACTGGCAAGACTCAGACCTGCCAAGCTTCAGCAAGGTGGCTGCATCAGGTGTCTTCTTGCCACTTTACTACACCATGTCTTGCAACATGGTCATGAATTTATTTTGAAGCTTTCAACCTTAATGATTCAATATTCAACATTTTCTTATAATCCATAGCATCACCAAGGCAATCTCCAAGGAGGAAATCAAAGTATTAAATAGTCCACAGGAGTTTCCCCTTATCTTTGGCAGGAAAAGCAACAGAAGATTGCTGGGAAAGGTTCAAAGCTCCTATTAGTTTGAAATGACCTGGAACATCCTGACCCTAAAGAGACTCTTCATCAAAGCACATTTAGGATAACAATTTAACACACCCATTCTAAACAGGTGTGCATGAAAGCAGGCTCCAATCCCAGGCAAAATGTGTTAAGAATGGCATAGGTGGTTATGCGATAATGGTTAGAGTGTTGGACTAGGACCTGGGAGAGCAGGGTTCAAATCCCCACTGAGCCATAAAATTCACTAGGTGACCTTGGGCCAGTCACCATCTCTTGGCCTGACCTACCTCACAGGGTTGTTGTGACAATTAAATGGCGAAAACCATAAAATAAAAACAGCTTTTGGACAATTAGTATCTTTTTACAATGTGTGTGTGTAAGTGAGTCCATCTTACTCTCTCTCTCTCTCTCAACACACACACACACACACACACACACACACACACACACACAGAGCGAGGTGAGTCACTATTCTGTGGAACTGATGATTCATCCATTCAGTCACCATCTCCGGGCCCTACTAACAAGCAAAAACACACGTGGGTTGTAATCCACAAACCACTTTACACCGAAGGTCCTTCTCAATCGGCCGGATTCGGAACGGCGCCGGATTCTCTTCCCCTTCACCCACGCCCCCAATTCCTCAAATATTTATTCCCTATTTCCTTCATGACGAAAGTGCGGGGGCAGGGAGAACAACTATGCGCCCAGGGAGATGGGTACCAGGAGCCTGAAGGGGGGATGCCTGAGTCCTGAGTGCCTTTAACGCTCCCCTTTACCGCACCCGCGAGATCGGGTGTAATATCAGCATGTCAGTTTCACTTTTGAGATCAGACAGGTGTGTGTGTGTGTTTGTGCGTCCGCGGCGTCGTGGCCCATCGGCGCCGTCAACACCGAGCGAGCGAGCGCCCAGCTCTCCCTTCGCCACATCCAGGACGTGCGTCGCTCCTCCATCTCCTCCTCCTGTGACATCTTATATAAGAATGATCCGAGCAAGCTCCAGAAGCGGAAGCCGGCCGAGCCACCTCGGGAGTAAGGAGCCGGCGGAACGGGCGCTCCTCCGGACCAGGAGCCTTTCGTCAAAAACTAGCGACATGCTAGAAAAAAGCTCGGCAGGGAAGAAGCGACGCAGCAGCCAAATGCAAGAGACACCCAAGGGGATGCGGTGCTGGTGGTGCTGCGCTCGGTTCCCCATTGCGAAGCTCGCAGGCACCATCGCCAGGACACCTTCCTGCCCCTTTCCAGTGATGGGAAGTCCCAGCTTCCCTTGACTCGACGCAGGTTCCTTAATTATAGGAGGCGGCGGGGACGCGGGAGAGAAAGTTAACTCTCCGCTCCGGCCCCTTCCCCAGCCTCGCAGGAGCAGCCTCGCTTCCCAGCCCGCCTTTGGCTTCGGCTGCTGCTGCTGCTGCAAGGCGCGATTCCGGCAGAAGCACGTTCAGCAACTTGTTATGACAGACGAACCCTCCTCCTCCCTCCCCCCCCCCACGCCATCCCGCTGCCCTCCCCCGCCTTAACTTTCCTCTGGGGTGGCGAGGGAGAAGCAGGGCGGCCGGGGACGAGCGGGCTGGCTGGGCAAGACGCTTTCCCTTACCTTCCCCCGAGCAGCGCAGCGGGAGCGCCCCGAGGACGCGGCGCGGGAGTTACGGGCGGGCGGGAGGCAGGCGAGGCGGCGCGGGGAAGCGAGGCGCGCTCGGCGCTGCTGTTCAGCTGACAGGACTTCCACGGGGGAGGGAGGAGGAGGAAGGACGGGGGGAGGAGGAGGAGGAAGCCTCGCGCGGAGCGGCGCGGAGGGAGCGGCGCAGGGGGGCGGAGGACTTTCCCAGGGCTGGTTGTTTACGCATTGCTGCCCTGCTCGGTGCACGCAATGCACTCTCTGATTGGACGCAAACTGGGGCACAGCCTTTCGCCGCCCGCCCTCGCCGCCGCCGCCTCGCAGCCATGCCGCCGACACACGGAGCCCCGCAGGGGAAGAGCAGGGCTGGCAAGTTCTGCCCCGCTTTGAGGGGACTTCGGCTCCCGTCGCGTGCGCGCTCCCGAAGCTTCCACACTCGCCTTCTCTCCCGCCCCCCCCCTCCCAACACACATGTGCGCGCGCGCGCAAGCGGAGCCAATGGTGTCGGGCGGCCCTTTTGGCGAGCGCGGAGTTTACCCTTCCCGGCCTGGCTGCGCACATGCTGCCAGGGCTTCGGCGGAAGGAGCGTGCGCGTCGCACATGCGCGCCGAGGTCCCGCGAAGCCGCGGCCCTTCCAGCCTGCCCTTACCCGCGCCTTCGGACTGACGGGAATTCTTAGCCGTGAATGGCGCGAGCGTGGGAGCAGTCCGGTGCCCGAGGCGCAAACTCCCCTAGCAAAAAGCGGGGGCGGGGTTACAATATTATTCCTCCCGCTGATCTCTCGTCCGCTCAGTCTCAACCTCTTCCAGCAATTAAAAAGAGGGACCAGGGGGACGCAACTAAAGGGAATTAGCGCAGCCCGATTCCAGTTATGTTTTGCGCACAAGTGAAGTCGCACTAAGTTCAGTGAGACTCCCCCTGCCCACCCTGAAAGTGTGATCAGGCACTTGTTAGTGCGTAGCAACAGCGTGGTGGGAGAGTTTATTCCGACGTGAGATAACCAGATACAATCGTGGGGCTGCTTCCCTGCGCCTTTGCAGCCCTGACGACGCGCTACTTTGTGCTTGTAGGCATGCCCTGAGTTATACTACTATTGTGGGCGTATAAACGGAATCCTATATTGTTTTTGCTCTACAGCGAATCCGTGATCTAATTGTGGAGAAAGGAAGGCGGGGTGGGGGTGCTTTTTAATGAAACCCATGCCCCGCTTCTAGACCCCAGTTTTAATCAAATCACACACACACGGACACACCCCACAGGTAAAGGGGAATGGCACAAAGTGCCCCCAGGGAGACTGCTGGGCTACGCGTTTAAGGTTATCACTGGTTAATAGAACTGAGACGAAGGATTTTTTAAGCACATATGTGTTAATTGGCTTACCAATACCAAGATGTGTTATCAGCTACTTTTTGTGAATTACCATGATGAAATAAGAATGGTCACTCTCTCTGCTTCCTTGCATTTCGTTTATCCTGACGTCACTGTTTGTGTACACACACACACACACACACACACACACCACCTTGCCCCTTCTATGTTCCTGCAGTTCAGGACAACACTTCATGCATCTGGTGAAGAGTGGACTGTAGTCTGCAAAAGTTCATCCCATAGAAAGTTTTTAAGTCTTTAAGGTGCTGCGAAATTCTCTGTCGTTTTCTTTATACTAGCCTCTCCCACCTTGGTACCCTCTAGACATTTGGATTACAACTTCAATCAGCCCAAACCAGTATGGCCAGTGAATAGGGATGGTGGGAATTGTAGTCTGTTAGAAGAATTCTAAGAACCCAAATATAAAATCAACGTTCATAAATGTACAATGCAAACACATACATAAGTATATAAACCATGTGTCTGAAATAGTACAGGAGAGCAATCCTGAAGTCATTTTGACTCCCCCAAACCATTTTGACTCGCAAATTGACCTAAAATATTTCTCTGCAAGCTTCTCCATTGTCTTTTGCCTACCTGTCTTAAGGGTGTACAGTATTTGTGTGTGAATAGGGTGAGCCTGTGGCCTGGATTCAGGAACTAAAAGTATTTACCATCACAAATGAGTGGCCAGGCTGCCCAGGTAAAGCAATCAGAGACCATTAACAGATATCCTGGCAAACAGGATTTCTGCTGTGAACACGCCACCTTCAGTGATGTATGTATGATGTTTTGGGGGGTGGTCTTGAGCTACAGGGTGGGCAGTTACAAAAGTCTATATAAGGGCTTGCGCACCATTGTTTGGGGTTCCTCCTCCCTCCTGTGTGTGGTGAGGACCCTGTTGCACCAGTTTAATAAAGATCAGGCTTACTATCTGCGTTGCTTCTCAATATTCTCTGGTTGGCCTCTGTTATTTTCTCCTACTGATAGGGAACCCTGTTAAGGACTCTATACAGGCTCTTGGACACCCCATAAGGGAAAAGGAGCAGGTTTTTTCTTATAACATAGTCCAATAACATGTGGTGTTGGAGCAAAGCTGCCTGAAACCCTGGATGGCTGCTGACAGTTTAGACAATACTGGGCTAGAAAGACTGACTTCGTATCTTTTTGGTACCCTATATTGTGAGATTGCAAGGTCTTAACCCTGAAAAATTCCAGCAACAAAAGAGGATGGTTATTATTACATTTAGATCCCACCTTTCCTCCAAGGAGCTCAAGGTGTCATGCATGGTTATTCCTTTCATTTTCTCTTCACGACAACCCTGTGAGGTAGGCTAGGCCATCCTAAGTTACACAAAGCAGCTGATGGGTAGGGCAGGAAGCAAAATGGAGGGGGAGGAGAGTTAAAATAAGCTTCTGGCTTTGAGGGTACCACCTATGCTGTAGTACCCTGCTTGCCTAAATAGTCCACCAGCTGCCCCCAAGGGCCAGTCCATATCCACCAATCTCTAAATAGCCCTAGCCTTTAAATACCTGGTGCCCTCCAGTAGTTCTACATCAGCTTCACCGAGCATGGGGCACCCAGTTAAGAGCATAAGAGTGGGGGGCTGAAGTAATACAGCCTTCCCTTGCACTACCTTTCAAGACGGAGAGTGTAGAATTCTTGTCCCTTTCTCCTTCACCAGCCAATATGTGCGGAAGGAAGGAAGCACATCATGGCTGTGATCTCATTGTCAGTCATAGCACAGCCCTGTCACTCATGGCCCAGAAGAGTGGAAGACAGAAACTGTGTTGATGGTTGGGTGGGAAACTGCCAATGCATTCCCTCCCCCCCAAAGGGCTAGAAACTTATTTTTAAATGAAAGCTGACAAATTAGGTTGGGAAATGCACAGGAGAACAGGATAGTATCACCAAGAAAGGGGGTCGGTGCAGGGAAACACTGAGCAGGAACAGTTTAGTGCCACTCATGTATCCTGATCCTCTGTATATTTCATCAGAAGTAAGCATTGGAGAGTATTGAGAGCTGGACAGTAAAGAAGGCTGATCGCCGAAGAATTGATGCTTTTGAATTATGGTGCTGGAGGAGACTCTTGAGAGTCCCATGGACTGCAAGAAGAGCAAACCTATCCATTCTGAAGGAAATCAGCCCTGAGTGCTCACTGGAAGGACAGATCCTGAAGCTGAGGCTCCAATACTTTGGCCACCTCATGAGAAGAGAAGAGTCCCTGGAAAAGACCCTGATGTTGGGAAAGATGGAGGGCACAAGGAGAAGGGGACAACAGAGGACGAGATGGTTGGACAGTGTTCTCGAAGCTACCAGCATCCTGAACAGAACGTAAGACGCGACGGCGCTTCCGCGCATGCGCGTGACGTCATTTTGAGCGTCTGCGCATGCGCGAGCGGCAAAACCCGGAAGTAACGTACTCCGTTACTTCTGGGTTGCCGCGGAGCGCAACCCAAAAGCACTCAACCTGAAGCACATTCAACCTGAGGTATGACTGTATTTCCCCACAGTCAGGTATCCCTTCCCTTGCTTCAGTTCTAGGCAACACAATACCCTCCAGATGTTGTTGGACCCCCAGTTATCATCAGCCCCAGCCAGCATGGTCAGTGGTCAAGGCTGATGGAAGTTGTTGCCCAGCAACATCCAGGCAACCAATGCAGACAACCAATGACACTGAATGCTGGGATTTTCAGGACAGATAAAAGAAACGACTTCTTCATGCAGTGCATAGTTAAACTATGGAACTTCGTCCCACAGAATGCAGTGATGACCACCAACTTGGACGGCTTTAAATGAGAACTGGACAAATTGGTGTAGGATAGGGCAGTCATGGCTACTAGCCACAACGGTTGGAGGAAGCACTGCTTCTGAATAGCAGTTGCCAGAAACCACAAGAGGAGAGAGAGTGCTTTTGTGCTTGGGTTCAGCTTGCAGGCTTCCCACAGGCACCTGGTTGTGAGAACAGGATGCTGGTCCAGATGGGCCATTGGCCTGCCTGCAGGCTCTTCTTACATTCTTGTGGAGGGCAGCATGTTCACTAAACATGCCTTACTTCATCTGGCCTATAAACATACAGAGGTACCTCGGGTTACAGACACTTCAGGTTACAGACGCTTCAGGTTACAGACTCCGCTAACCTGGAAGTAGTACCTCGGGTTAAGAACTTTGCTTCAGGGTGAGAACAGAAATTGCACGGCGGCCGTGAGAGGCTCCATTAGTTCTTAACCTGAGGTACTGCTGTAGACCTATCTACCTAGAGACAATGCTGTGCTTAAGATTGCCAACTTTTACAAACAAACACACAAGCATCCAAGCCCAACTGGACCTCTTCCTGTGCTTTTAACAGCAGCTTGACATGCAGAAACTGAGCATGGGAAGCTTTTCCTGGCATGGAGAAAATGTAATGGGGAAAGCTTAGCCTACGTAATTTCTGCACGGCTAATGTTAAAAGCCATAGGAGCGGGGCCAGAAAATGCTGCCAACCCTAATAGCGCTAAAAGGAAAGGGTAGGCTTGTTTTCAAAACATATGGAAAGGCCCTAAGAGTGCCTGGCTGAAACTGTGTGGGATTTCTGACCTATGTAAACAAAGGTGGTTGATTCAGAATAACTCTTAAATCAACAGCTTCTGAAGCATTCCTGGGGAGTTTTAGCCTTTGGGTAAATATTCAGCTGAGAAGATGCTTAGCTGTTTGCATAGTTTTTGTTTGGTAAAAGCATTAGCAGCAGGCAGAACCCAGCCAAAGTTAATACGCTCAAAACAAAACCCATTAGTTTCAATGGGAAAGTTTAGCATAGGGGGCAAGTGCTTCCTTTTGAAGTGAATGGGACAAACAGCTCAGCTTTCAGAGGATCATGTAACTTGTACACTTCATTAATTTCTTTGTGTTTATGGTGAACGGAAACCATTCCTCTGTAGCAGCCAAATTTTACAAGAAGGGCAAATTGTGGTTTTAAACATTTTCTTATTACTCATGTTCTACGCTGCTGTATAGCATACGGCTGAATGGAAATATTCTATGTGTAAAGAGAGGTTTGTCCCCCCTCCCATTAAAGTCTCTGAAACCCAGTGGTTAGGATGAGATTGGCCCACGGTGGTCCAACCTCTCAGACCAAGTAGGCCACAAGAGTACCGGTACTTCGACACAGAATCTGCAGGCCACACACTGGATTAAATTTCCATATTGTAAATTAAAAGTGTTTTCAATATAGTTAATATTTTTAATAGGCACAGTTAATTGAATGCATATAATTAAATACACAGTTAATAGATTTAATATATTTATTTATTAAACAAAATTTAGTGCAAAAATATTTTAGCCACCTCCCCACCCTCCCCTCCTCACAGGACCCCTGGTGCCACTGCAGAATGCGCGACCATCACAGGAAGTCTTGGAGGAAGGAGCTTCCACTAGGTATTTGGTTGGCCAATGTGGGGACAGAATGCTGGCCTGATCCAGCAGGCCTCTTCTTAGGGAGCTCAAGGCACCGTTTGTAGGACTCCCGAAACCCAGTCCTGCTTAATTTCGGAAAGCGGACAGAGACACTCTCAGAGACACCCTTAAACCATGCCATCTTATGAGCCAAAATGACCCCTTATTCCTTAACTAAACCTAAATGTTGGGGCTATTCTATCAAAGTTATTTCCCATGGTGCCCAGAGCACTGAACTGTGTCTCAGGCTATAACAATCTCTGGCAGCCA